AGGAGGCGAGCACTGTGTTTACCTCCCCTGCCATCTTTATTTAGAAGATCTAGAAAAGCATTTCTGATTATTTTTAATATAGCCTAATTCAATGAAGATATGAATAAACTGCTTTGTTGAGAAACACTGTAGGACCTCACACACTCACATACTGTGTGCCATTTAGTGATTGGTTTAACCTTGTCGACTCTCTCATTTATAAATAAACTCAATAGAAACCAAAAGGACCAGCAAAAGGAGCCGTCCGTGGTGACCACTGCCTGTGGAAGAGACATGCATAAGCTGCACATGAGTCAGGGCGACACCACTTTTGTGCTGTGTTTGTGTGTAACCCCAGGGAGAAGAACGTGCTTATTATCTTGGAGTAACATAAAAGGGACAACACAGTTTAAAAGAAACAGCTGGAGTGTGATCTAATCTCCATGTTCCAATATCCTCATGTATAAAACATGCATAAGAATTAAACTTCACTGAACAATTTGTTTATTCTCAGTTCATAGCCTGCCTCAGCACTGCCAGAGCAATAGTCCTGGCTTGAGGGAACACCAGGATGCCCTTAAATAATAAATGGATTATTTATGAAGCATTGCTTTTATATATTTAATATTAATTTGACTTCAGATGGTAATTATGTCAGAATCATAAATGTATTCTCTTATTCAGGCCTCCTTTGTCAGTGACACTTGACTGCTCCCCCCCTCCCCCAACTGTGACAGCAGAAATGGCAAAGCTCTGCATCACCGAGGGGAGAGAAGCCAGATAAAATTAAGCACTCATGTGTTTATGGATTAGCATAGAACACATCCATAAAGAATCAATAATGCTCTGTATTCCTTGGTCATGTGTAGATAATAAGAGATAGTGGTCCTGCTTGGACTTCCCAACATGTTAATAGGAGAACATCTTTAAAATTTTTTACATTATATTTTTCAATATTTTGTAGAAATCATTTATCAGCAAAGGGATATTTCCCCCCACTATAATTTCTTAATAATGACTTGCTTTGTAAATTGCATACTTATTATGTGCTCATGACACAGGTTAAGAAAAACAACTGAAAGCTTATATGTCATCTCAAAAACTGTTAGGATGGCTACTATTCATAAGAACCCCACATGAAAAAAAGTATTGGTGAAGATGTGGGTAAATCAGAACCTTTGTGTACTGTTGGTGGGAATAAAAAGGGTAAAGCTGTTATGGACAACAGTGTGGAGGTTACTCAAAAATTTTTAAGAAAGGACTACAAAATAAAAAGTAATTTTAATTCTGGGTATATATCCTAAAGAATTGAGGCAGAATCTTGGAGAGATATATGTAAAACCATATTTATGGCAGCACTGCTCAAATAGTTAATAGATAGAAACATCCTATTTGTTCCAATTGAGAACTGAATGGATAAAGAAAATGTACATACTACAAAGGAATTTTATTCAACATGGATAAAACTTGAGGACATGACGTAAGTGAAGGAAACTAATCACAAAAAGATTTTTCAGTGGCTGGGAATCTGGGGAGATCCTGGCTGGGCTGAGAATGTCAAATCTCATTGTCCTCCCAGCCCTTCAACTCTCCTAAGGCCCTCGATAAAATGGCTACACCTTAAAAAAAAGACAAATACTGTATGATTCCATTTACACGAGTTATGTGAAGGAGTTAAAAGCAGAGATCATAGAATACATACAAATTGAAAGGTGAATGGGGGCTGCCAGAGGTGACAGTGGGGACTGGGGAGTTGTTAATGAGGACACAGTTGCAGTCTTGTAAGATAAAAGACAATGTCAATATACTTAACACAATGAAAGAGTGTTCTTAGAAGTAATTTAAGATAAAGTTTGCTATGCATTTTTATCACAAAGTTTTTTTAGAAAATCTATTGATAATTAAGTCACATACATATAATACAATTAGAGAATTAGGTGCATAAGCATATGGTTATACATTAAGCATGCATAGTGCTGTATTTGGAGCTGATACCTAGTTGGTGTGCAATGGAATCAGATTCCCAGCTGTTCTGATTGATCAGCTATTCATTCTAAACCATTCAATCTGTTTGGTGACTGCTCACTCCTTATCATTACACAAACACATGTACTCACAATATATTAAACATTCACCTTCACAGTATCTCACCCTTACAAAGCTGGAGGGAGGAGGAAAAGGGAGTGGCACAAATAAAAACAGAGAAGCCTGATCCTCTCAAATAAGCCACAAGACTTGAGTACATCCATCCCCAAGGAGACTGCCTGTGCAGGATGGATGCATAACAAATATTATCCCCTCATCTTCATTAGCATAGAAACACCAGGGGAGCAGAGCACCAGAGGGAGAGAGGTAAGGCTAGGGAGTAGGGAGGATGATTTGTGACATATTAAATAAAGATGAAGAGATAATGTAGAAGTTGTGAGGGAACTGGATGAGATGAAGAGACAGAGGAAAAGAAAGAGAAGGGAGATACTGGAGAAAGAATGAGAGAGAGAGAGAGAGAGAGAGAGAGAGAGAGAGAGAGAGAGAGAATCCACCCCTCTTCATAATTTTTGAGAAACACAAAGAGCTTGAGGTAATGTGAAATTATTTTTGGGTGCTAAATTGCTATTCTAGCATATTTCACATTTCTTAATGGAATATTAAAAGTATGAAATACTTTCGGTCCTGATATCTGTGATCTAAGAAGGAGAAGACCTGATTTGGCAAGTAAACAGACAAGATTTGAACCTAACTCTATTTCTAACTACACAATAACCTTTTTATTTTTTTAAACTTTATTGTTTAAAGTGTCACATAGGTCATCATCCCCCCCGCCATTAACCTATTATATCACCAAAGTAAGAGTCAAAATATTTATCTTATTCTTTGAGTCCACATATGATCAGATGATGAACTTCTGAGATTTTCTTCTATCCCTAAGTCTTTCTCAGGGAGGTGTGCTGGGTTGTGACAAATACTTTTTTTCAATCTATTGAGATGATCATAACATTTGTTAATATGTGATATCTTCAGTGATTTTCAAATGATAAATTAATTTTGCATACCTGGAATAAAACACACAAGGCCATTCTGTTTTATCCTTTTATTTTTTAAATTCTTTTAAAGGTTACCAATTTTTAATTTACATTTTTACTAATTTTATATTTTCAATTATAGTTTATGTATAATACTATATGTTTCTGTTGTACACTATAGTTATTAGACACTTATGTAATTTATGAAGTGATCATCCCAGTAAGTCTAGTTATTACACTATTATTGACTATATTCCCTATTGTACTTTACACTCCATGACTATTCTGTAACTGAAACCAAACAAAGGGGGTTCAGTTTCCTGTGGCAGCAAAAGCCAAACTTGTGAGACAGGTTCTTTGTGGGGAAGCATGGGACCTGGTTGGGAAGTCTATAAGGAGGATACTTCAAAAGGTTGGAGGCCTCTAGGGGATTCTTGCCAAAGGCAGCAGACCCTACCTTGACTTTTCCAAACATGCCTGAGCCCCGGATGTTTTACTGGAATCTCTATGTTTAGTCTTCAGACCAGGGGTGGGCAAACTTTTTGACTCGAGGGTCACAATGGGTTCTTAAACTGGACCGGAGGGCCAGAACAAAAGCATGGATGGAGTGTTTGTGTGAACTAATATAAATTAAAATAAACATCATTACATAAAAGAGTTCGGTCTTTTTTTTTTAGTTTTATTCATTTCAAACGGGCCGGATCCGGCCCGCGGGCCATAGTTTGCCCACGGCTGCTTTAGACACTACCTTGTTTAAAGAACACTACAGATGCATGTGTTTTCTCAAGTATGCTTACCCTACTGATAGTATCTAGAGGTTAATTTTAGTTCAAGCTGTTGCTACAATAAAAGCCTAAGGAGGCAGGCGAATGGGGTTATCTGGTTCCTTTAGCCAGGCAGTCCCTTAGCCCTCTCTTTCACATATAAGTGTATCAGAGTAATCATTCATCTGTCGCTCAGAGTCTGCTGGTCAGTCCTGGCAGTTCTTGTGCAAAAGGAAAATAAAGTTTATTCAAGTGCTAACCTAGGAGAATGGTAGACTCCCATATCAAAGACCATCTTACCATCCTGCTAAAGCCTACAGTTCTTAAAGGAATAAAAAGTGGAGGACTTTCTTTCTCTATCCAGTCACACTGCTAGCTTTAGGCATGCTCTGGTACTACCTATCCATCTTTCTAGCCCTTGGGGTGCTCAGTGTAAAAAACTCCCCCTGTATCATCCTGGTGAATGGGATGATCCCCCACACTCTCCGGCTGCCTACAGTCACAATTTCACCTTTGAAACTCTGGACTCTGGTAGTCTTACAAGGATAAATGAGTGGAAGTCTCACCTGTATTTTCCTCCTGCTGTCAAGGAGCAGTCTTGCTTATCCCAGTTTCAGAGATTCTTACTATTTACTAAAGAAGAAGGGCATAAAAAATAGAGGGAAGCCTTTACACAAGATAGAAGGATTGCTGTCTCCAAAAGGTGGCATATGCAGTGTCCAGAGGATGGCAATGATTAACAAGCAAAGATGGTAGACTGTTTCATATTTCAAGAGATGGTGTTGCAGATGGGCTTCCAAGGTAAGACCTTTAAGAGGCGTTGTCCTGCCCTGGCTGGGTGTTTCAGTTGGTTGGAGAATCATCCGATACACCAAAAGGCTGTGGGTTTAATCCTTAGTTAAGATGCATAAATAGGTTGTGGGTTCAATCCCTGGTCAGGGTGCGTATGGAAGACAACCAGTCAATGTTTCTCTCTCATGTCCGTGTTTATCTATCTATCTATCTATCTTTTTTTTTTACACTTAACAGGATGATTTATTATAGCACAACTTATATATTTCAAATGGACAACAAATTAGCATCACTTACAGCATCTTAAGATAAACTACCTTTGAACAGGAGCTTCCTTTCCAGTACTTTGATGTCTACAAGATGTATCTAGAAAGGTTACTACTGTGGAAAATGAAGACTGCTTAAATCGAATGGGAGCAGGGCGGGCCTGTGGTTTTCTTTTTGATTAGTTGCTGTAACACTGTCCTTCAGGTGGCTGAGGGAGTGATATGTTATCACTCGTCAGCATTAGGTGCCGAAGCTCATGCAGGACATGTTTGATACTACATGCACGATTCCATTTCTCTAGCACTAATACGGCCTTTGGGTCCACCACTCCGTTAGAACTATTAACTCCATTAATATTAATTTTTGTTACAAATCTTACAACGGGGGGTACTTCAGGGTATTTAGGTCCACATTCTATTTTAAGGCTGTACATTCGGTTTTCATAAACTGTTCTTGGAGGCCCAATTATTATCCCTGCCCATCTTATAAGTGTCATGTCTTCATCTATCTATCTATCTATCTATCTATCTATCTATCTATCTATCTATCTATCCATCTATCATCTATATCATCTATCTATCTATCTATAATCTATCATCTATCATCATCTATCTATCCTCTATCATTTATCTATCTCTCTAAAAGTCAACAAAAAAGTATATCCTTGAGTGAGGATTGAAAAAAAAAGAAAAGAAAAGGTGCTTTCCCTTTCCAAAAGAAAGAATTTTAAATTATTTTGTATGAGTGCAGGTGCAGCTTTCCCTTGAAGTATTAGCAGCAAGATGCAAGTCTTCCTCAGGTGGCACCTATTAATCATGTGTGATTAATCCAAGGCTTGATTCCTGTGGGCTTTAGGGAAGAGTGTATTGTCATCAGACATCATGGAGACCATTGCTCAGTGAACTGCTGTTCAGGACCTTGAGTCTTCCAGGCCTTTAGTTAAAACTTGGTCTCCTGGCTGCAATGGATGTAAGGGGTATTCAGACAGGTAGATAGACCTGCAATGAGCAAATTAGTGCAAAATTGTTAGTTTGGCCTAAATGTTGTACATATTGTTTGATTTTTTATTCATATTCTAAATCTAAAGGGAGTGTCCCTAAAACAGAAACTTGGAAGTGTCTCCCATAAACTATTTATACTGGCTTCATTTAAACCTGCTTTAGAGCACTGCCCTAACCCAGAGCAATAGGAAGTGCCTGGTTCCTTTCCAAGTTTGTTTCCTGGCATATTTTGCCAGGGTTTTCTTTATTGAGTGGCTCACTTTCTCAGTCTTCCTTGTAGATTGGGGTCTCCAATATGCACATAGCTTCCATTGAATCTGTAGGGCTTGTGAGACCTTCTGGGAGATTTCTGAAGTGAAGAATGATCCACTGTTGCTCTGAATGATGTGAGGAAATCCAACTCTAGAGATTATTGCTTTGAGTAGAAGTTTTGCAACCTCAGTTGCCTTCTCTGTTCTAGTGGGGTATGTTTCTACCCATCCAGAAAAAAGGTGTCTATAAAAACTATAGTTTTAGGCATCTGTGTAAAGTCAACTTGCCAGTCCTCAAATGGGCATATTCCTTTATATTGTACTACCTTTGCAGTTGGGGAACATTCTGTTTTAGGATTGTTTTGGGCACATATCTGACAGCCTCGAGTAATTTTCTGAATGGTCCTTTGTAAACGAGGACCCTTCAAATGTGGTCTAATGAGGTGTATTAAAGCATACCTTCCACAATGGATCCCTTCATGTAGGTGTTTGAGGACAGGATATATGTACTGGAACTTCAGGCCCATATAGAATTAGCATCAGTGCTAGAGAATCCCAATCCTTGGGCTAGTCCTCATGCAAGTCCAGGGGGGAATTAAAGCCCCAGTAAGTGGCAGCTTCAGGTGATTTGTCTTACCGCTTTATTGGCAGTTTGGTTTCCCTGACTTGTTTGGGAATTGTCCTTCTGGTGTCCTGGAAATGGCATTATGACAATCTGGTTCAGGAAATTCACTGCCTCTAGCAATTTGAAATCTCATTTGCATGTATTATATCTTTATTCCCCAAGGTTAAGAGTCCTTTTTCTTTCCACATTGCCCCATGGGCATGGACTACCCTGAATGTATATTTAGGGATCTGTGAAGATGTTATTCTTTCTCTGGGATAATTCTAAGGATCTGGTGAGGGCTGTTATCAGTCAGCCTTTTGTTCCAACATTCCTAAGACAAGGGCCTGTGACTCTATTACCTTGTCTGAGGTGACTTTCACATGCCCAGCTCATTGTTGACCATTCTCCATGAAGCTACTACCATCTCTATACAGTTCCTAGTCAGAATCTGTCAGTGACTGGTCCAATAGAACTGGTCTGCTGGAATGAATTTTGTCAATGATTGCTAAGCAATCATGTTGGAGGTTTGAATTTCCCTTTGAGTCTGGGAATAGGGTGCGGGGTTCAAGATAGTGTTAGTTTGTAAGGAAACACTTGGGTTGTCTGATAAATTGGCCTTGTAATTTTCCAATGCCCCCTGCCCTCAGCCAATACCCTCTTTTCTGTTTCAATAGGGTTAGGTGTGGTACAAATATCATATTAGGTTGTCCAGAGTGAATTTCTCTACTTCTTAAAGCTGCTATTGCCATGGAGGCCATTCTTTTGCCATGAGCTCTAGTTCAATTTTATTGTTAGATGTTAACCACTTTACCTGGGGTTCTGTCAGCCCATACTGCTTAATCAACTTGCTCATAAATCTTGGGTGGAAGGGTTCATTTCTGGATACTTCCAGGCAAGCCAGGAGCACCTGGAGCTAGAGAGCATATCCCGGCCGGACGCCTAAACATAATTGCTGTTTCTTGGGGGAAAATGTTATTTGTGCATGCAATTTACAAAGTAAATCTTGGCCCAGTAATGGAATGGGGCAGTCTTGAATGTAGAGGAAACTATGTGTTATTTTTTGATCGCCAAGCAGGCATTGTTGAGGTTGAAGGTACGTCTATTTTTGTGACTGTCCACTGACTCCAGTTACCAACTCTCCAGCTACCTCCCTTGGTTAGTTTTGTATTTCTGCCCAGTTTGGATGATAAACTGTCCCAGTATGGATAAGGTTGCTCCCTGGCCTTATTGAGAGCCCTGTCTGGTCTTTAAGGGGGAGACCATTTCTTCATCATGCACTGTGTAATAGCATAAATGCCTGGACATAAGGGATTTTGCCCCATTTCCCTATCCATTGGCAAAACAATACCAACTGTATGACAGTATAGTAATTTAGAGAACCATTTAGGGATCATTTTCCCCCATAGTCTAAAATATACATAGGCCAAGCAGTTTTACAATAGAAAACCAATTTCTTTTTAGTCAATGAATTATAGCTGTATGTGGACCAATCTGATAAATTCCAGCCCAGTGGGCTCCCTTTAGGAGTTTAAAACAGAACAATCCCAAATGGCACAAAAGTACAAACCCAAAACCATAACCATAGAAAGACCCCAGACAAAGTGGAACATCTGGACAGAACTTGGATCCATAATTCCCTTAGTCTGAATGAGCTTTCATGAGCAAGATCTAGCCTCTTCTCTTCTGCCAACTGATATTGCAAATGGACCCAAATGGCACAGAGCCCAAATGGCAGGGATAGATAACCAGCGAGTTAAAACTTGCTGCAGCTGCTCAGAATCTCTCAGCCGAAGCAGATTCCAGAAGTTAGTAGTGTCCTTCCCGTTAATTTCACATGGCCAGCTCATGAAAACTACGTCAGCCGCTGTCAGTGGCTCAAAGCCCAGGGGGCTGGCTGCTGCTTTGACTCACCAAGTCCTGGGGGCCATCTACTCCTAGAAACTAATTTCTTTTCACCAGCCAAGCATTTCAGGTGGTTGATGCCTAGGAATCTCTTTCATTTTACCAGCCTGCTCTTAGCATAAGCCTGCCACAAGCAGCTGGGACATGAGCTGGGGCAATCCAGGACTTACCATGGTCCACATCTTCCCAGTTGGCTCACCAAAAACTGAAACCTAACAGGTGGGTTTGGCAGCCAGTGGCAGCAATGGCAAACTGGTGAGACAGTTTTGCTTCAGAAGGGAAGAGGCTTATTCAGGAGCCAACCTGGGAGAATGGTGGGTTCCTGTCTCAAAGACAATCTCGCCTTCCTGCTCAAGCCTGCAGTTTTTATAGTGATAAGGAGGTGAGGGCTTTCTTTCCCTATCCAATCACCCTGCTGGCTTTTGATGTTTTGGGCCATCTATTCACCTTTCAAGCCTTTGTTTTGCTCCATCGTCATCTTGGCCAATGGGGTGACTCCATGGCACTATTGACTGTATACAATAATTTAACTACCAATTTGTACTTTTTAATTTCTTCACCATTTTTACCTGTTCCCCCTAAACCTTCTTTCACCTGACAATTATCAAAATGTTCTCTGTATCTATGAGTCTGTTTCTCTTACAATTGTTTATTTTGTTTTTTAGATTCTATATATAAGTGAAATAATCTGCCATTTGTCTTTTTCTGTCTGGCTTATATCACTCAGCACAACACCCTCTAGGTCCACCCATTTTGTTGCAGATGGCAAGATATCATTCCTTTTTTATGGTTGAGTCATATTCCATTGTACATATCACCACTTCTTTATACATTCATTTATTGTTTGACACTTAAGAGGCTTCCTTATCATTTTATTAATAATGCTGCAATGAACATACGATGCATATGTCTTTTCAAATTAGTATTTTGAGTTTCTTCTGATAAATACGCAGAGTGGAGTTTCTGGGTCCTATTTTGTCTCTTGTTATAACATTTGTTTTAAAGTCTATTTTTTGATATAAGTATTGTTCTCTAGTTTTTTTTTTTAAATTTTCACTTTTGTGAAATATTTTTTCATCCTTTTACTTACAATCTGAAGTGAGTCAAAAGCATATGTAAGGATCTTGTTTTTTTTATCCATTAAGTCATCTATGTCCTTGACTGGAACATTTAACCCATTGGTTTTACAGTAATTGTTGATAGATATATATTTATTGCCATTTTATTAATTTTGGTTTTGATATTTCTTTTTCTTGTTTTTATTACAGAAGACACTTAACATTTTTTCAAATACCATATGGTGGAAATGAACTCGAGCTTTTTCTTGCTTAAGAAGCACTTTCTCCTTCAATTTAAAATAATAGCTCTGCTGAATAGAGCAGACTTAGTTGTAGATTCTTGCTTTTTATTACTTTAAATATTTCATATCAATCTCTCTGGCCTGCAAAGAATCTGTTGAGAAATCAGCTGAGAGTCTTAGGATAGCTCCTTAGTAGGTAACTAATTGCTTTTCTCTTGCTACTTTTAAGATTCTCTTTGTCTTTATTCTTGGAACTTTAATTATGATGTGTCTTGGTGTGGGCCTTTTTCGGTTCATCTTGTTTGGGACTATAAGTACTTCCTTGATTTGTATGTCTATTATCTTTGTCCAGTTAGGAAAGTTTTCCATCATTATTTCTTCAAATAGGTTTTCAAGTCCTTGCTCTCTCTCTTTTCCTTCTGGTACCCCTATGAA